GCCAACCATTTCCTGATGCGTTACAAACTCCCCTGGGGGATCTGCTCTCCGCCACACACAGGGCTGCCTCTTTGGCGAACAAAGCGCTGCTCTCAAGGCCTGAGCCGGCTGGGAAAAGGGTTCTCTGTCTCTGGTTACACTCTGGATATCCCAGACAATGGTCCTTTGATCAGGTCTGGCAGGCAGGAGCGGGGCTGCAGAGGCCTCCTCCAGGTGGGGTGTTTTCCATGGGTTCCAGCTGCTTCCTTGCATGTGTGGGGGTGCCACTGGGCCCCTCTGCAAATCTACCCACTGGGAGCCCCTTTGACAAACTTACTTTTCCTGCAGCTGCCTCCAAGGACAATGGGGACGTGCGGTAGACCCGTGACAGACTCTGCTTCCAGGTCATTTGTACCCACTCCACTGTCCCGACTAGCTAGATCTTATGAACTTGGTCACCTTGTAAACTTTACAAGGTAGAGCCTCTGGCCAGCTCTCCTAATAGCTTGTGGCTTATAATGGCACTGTTGTACCACCGTCAGCTTCAAAAAGAGAGAAAGATGTCCTGCCTCCAGCCCACTCTGCCACCTCTTTGTTCTCTCCCAAGACTGAGCACTATGCCAGGAAGAAGAGCCTGGCTTCTGGACCAGGCCCAAGGCCCATCTAGTCCAACATCCTGCTCTCACAGTGGCCAGACAGAAGTACCAGTGGGGATGCCACAAGCAGGACCTGAGTGCAGCTGCCCTCTTCCCACCTGAGATTCCCAGCCACAGATATTCAGAGGCATCCCATTCATTCAGAGATGGAGCAGCAGCCATCAGAGCCATGAGCCACTGACAGTTCCATCTTCCATTCTCCTTTTGGAGCCACCCAAGCTGGTAGCCGTTGCTGTGTCTTCTGGGAGCAATTGGGAATAACACCAGCCTTCCCCAACCTGGGGCCTCCAGGCGGCATACACTGCTCTGCAGCCTGTGCTGCCTGCCTGTGCCTGGGGCTGCTTGCCAGATCTGTCAAGCCTGTCAGTCAGTGTGTTTGTGTGTGTCCACATCAGTATTCCACCGCAAGCACGCTTGTCCCTCTTTCTTTTGCCCATCTGGCTTATCACAGGGGGCAATGATATCACCCAGCCTCCTGGTAGGAGTGATCTAATAGGCGCTGCTTCATTCTGCTTTGCCATGAAAACAGCTGTTTTTAGTCCCCAGCTCTGGCGCTGTAGCTTCCGGTGGCTTATAGAGAGACTAATTTGCTAATCACTGAGCAGGGGAATGGAAGCGATTTTGTAGGATTAACCTTCCCTGTGCTAGTATAGTGGAGCTCAGCGATGTCCCCGGCCATGCTGGTGACTGAGGCTTGCAGGATTACCCTCTCAAAGAGCGATGCCAGTTTGTTCATGGGCCACCATTGTGCTGCTATCTTTCCCAGGAGCCTCTGCTCCTGGTCTTCCCGTCTTTTGTGGGATGAGTGCCCTGCATCTGGGTAACAGAATGCGCTGAGACCTTAATCCCCAAATGCAGATTTTTGCTTTTCCCACTCTGATGACTTAAAGACTTTTGACCTGGTCATCACTCAAGGCTTAGAAATCAAGGGAAAGGGTTAACCGGTGCTCCCTGGAGTCTGTGTCATGCATTGCAGCCAAGTCAGAGGGGTTCTTCCGCCCCCTTAAGCAATTCTGCCTTGTCCTGCAGAGTGTTTTTAATTCCTTTGAATCGGAGACATCCGTAGCCTGTTGCTTGACTTACGGAAGCAGCAGCATATGAAAGCGTGGTTTTCTAAATGCGAGGTTTGTGGGGTGCTGTTTCAAATGAACCATGCTTAACATTGAGAAAGGGAGGGAGGAGAGGCAGAGGGTGTTATTGTTTCCTCAGACTGGCTCCTGGCTTGCAAATCATGGTTTGCCTTTACCACTCATGTGCCAGCTCTTCGCCCAGGGATCAGGTGGTGGTGATTTATTTCATTCATGTATTTCAAAGTAATTCTACAAAAACAGTTACTTATATAAAAACAGTTAAAACTGTGTGTGTGTGCGCATGCGTGCGTGTGTGTGTGCATCCATATATATAAATCTCTCTCTCACTCACGCACACACACACACACATGTATGTTAGAGGCTGCTGCCCCTGCTAAGCTCAGAGTGTGGGCAGAGTGCTTCTGCACTCCTGTTCAGCTTGCAGGCTTCTCACAGGCATCTTGTTGGCCACCCTGAGAACAGGATGCTGGACTTGAGGGGCCATTGGCCTGATCCAGCAGGCTTACCTTACATTATTAATGTTTTGCTTAGGTCTCCTTTGGAGAATTGCAGTGAAATGATTCCTCAGATTAAAGGAGATGCTGGATGGCCCTTGCAGACACCCTAAAGGGAAAGTGGGCAATCCTTGGGTCCTCGCAAACCCATGGTAGCTTCTGTGGTTACTGCACTGCAGATGGTTAGATGACTGTTCTTGCCCTGCACAGTGGTATTCCCTGAACTCAAACAGTGGAAGGGGTCAGGACTGCTCCTTTGTTATACTCTGGGATACTAGTGCATATGAGTGCACAGCCTCTAGGACAGCTTTTACCAACCTCATGTTCTCCAAATGTTTTGGACTACAACACCTATCCTCTGTGTTGCTGGGGCTGATTGGCGTTGTCACCCAAAATATCTGGAGGGCACCAGATTGGCAAAGGGAGGGGGAGAGAGAAGATTTTGCTGCTCAAAATGGCCCAGCTACGCAGGGGAATGATTAATGATGTGCCTGGAAGTGATATCATCTCTGCCCTTCTTGCGATGGGCCGGTGATGTTCGTGCGCAAGTGCCACCCCCACAGCGAAACAGTGTTTGCACCTGCTAGCTTCAAAAATAACACGAAAATTGCTATTTATTTCTTTGAAATGTGTATCCCCACTTAGAAGTTTGTAACCGGAATTCCAGCAGTGAACATAAATCGTAAAAAGAACTACATTAAATAGAATGGCAATTAAAATCAATCACTTGCAGCAGCTGGAACGGGTAGGAATAACGAAAATATTCAAATGCCAGATGGGACATTAAACGACTTGGATGAAAGTTTTTGGCAGACAAAAGAAGCTCCCTGTTCACCAAGAAGCTTCTTAAACTTCACAGAGATGGTGAATCTGTGGCCCTCCAGATGCAGGACTGCTAGCTCCATCGCTGTAACAGGAGTTGGAGTCTCAACAACCTTGCGGGGGGGGGCACAGATTCCCCATGTTGTTTAACATAGTGGGGTTATCCGGATGTTTGGAGTACATTGTCAGCAGAATGCTGATGACACTCAGCTCCATTTCTCCTTTGCATCTGCAGGTGAGGCAGTGGAAGTGCTGGACCAGTGTTTTGCCTCAGTCATGGACTGGATGAGAGCCAGCAAAGTGAAGCTCAATCCAGATAAGATGGAGGCGCTGTTAGTGGGGGGTTCCCTAGACCGGATGGCTAGGAGATCGCCTGCTCTTAATGGGGTTACACTTTCTCTGAAGGAGCAGGTTCATAGCTTGGGGGTTCTCCTGGATTCTTTGCTGTAAGCTTGAGGCTCAGGTGGCCTCAGTAGCCCGGAGTGCCTTCCATGAGCTTCGGCTGGTGGCCCAGCTATGCCCCTGTCTGGTCAAGGTTAGTCTAACTACTGTTGTCACTGCTCTGATAACCTCAAGGTTAGATTACTGCAATGTGTTATACGTAGGGCTGCCTCTGAAGACAGCTCGGAAACTGGTGCAGAATTCACTGGTCAGGTTGCTCACTGGAGCAAGATGGTCTGAGCACGTTACACCAATCCTGGCCACCGATTAGTTTCCTGGCCCAATTCAAAGTGCTGGTTTTGACCTATAAAGCCTTAAACGGCTCAGGACCGCAATACCTTAAGGACCACCTTTTTCCATATGAACCTACCCGGACCCTGAGATCATCTTCTGAGGCTCTTCTTCGCGTGCCTCCTCCGAAAGAGGTCCAGAGGTGGCAACACAAGAACAGGGCCTTCTTCAGATGCCCATTAATTTCATGGGTCTACGCAGACACTATCAGGGATCCAATGCAACAGTTTCTCTAGTGGATCACACATACCATTGTGTAACAAAGTTATAGAATTGTAGAGTTGGAAGGGACCCCTAGGGTCACCCACTCCAACTCCCCCCATGCAGGAATCCCAACTGGATTATACATGATCATACAACTAGCTTCCAGCAACCTGCTTCTGCATTCTCTAGCATATTGCTCACAGAACGAGTATCACGCCACAAGGCTCTGTCCTTGTGCTACATGGGATGTTACACTCTTATGGATTCTTCCTCCAGAAAAGCCCACCTATATATGGGAGCAGCCCATAGATAGCCTATATGGTGCTGTAGTGTTAGGGCCCACATGCTCAGATGTGCCTCAAGGGGGCTTCCTGAGGGCTTGCAGCTCAGATTGGTTACTTCAGCATGGACAGGATCAAGGCCTTCTTTGTGGTGGCCCTTGAACTGTGGAACTCCCATCTGTACAGGCATTTAGGCCAGCACTGGAGACTTGCCTCTTCAGTGCTGCCTTTTAACTGAGATTTTCATTAGCTAGGGTGTTGTCAGAGCTGCGTCTGAAAGTATTCTGCATTCTTGCTAATGAGTCTATATTATATCTTTATATCTTCTCTTGTGTGTGCCCTGCTTTGTGAGGGTGTTGCCTGAAAAGACACTGGGACATATCTCTCTATCTGTCTGTCTACCTCTCTGTTAAACACAAACAGGACCGGGATCTGCTGCCAGCAGAGAAGCAAGAATCCTGTTGTCCTCTCTTAACTTTTTAAAACATTGTTCATGTTTAGTTTTTATTACATTGATAGCCCACCTTCCCCCAAGGTGCTCAGGGTGGTATATATGCTTCACCCATTCCCCATTTCATACGACGACACTGCGAGGTAGGTTAGGCTGAGAGATGGCGCCTGGCCCAGAAACACCCAGTGACCCTCATGGGCCTGAGTGGGGATTTCCCTCCCAGATCCTAGCTCAGCACTCTAACCACTGCACCACACTGCCCCTTAACGTTGCCTGCTCTTCCCTTGCAGACCTGAGGGAAGTGACGAAGCGCTTCTCCAAGATGGGGGTGTTCAACTACACAACACTGACCCTGGCTGACCCCAAAGGGCTGCTTTACGTGGGGGCCCGAGAAGCCATTTTCGCCCTCCGCACCAACAACATGGAGCTTGAGGAAATGGTGAGTTGCAGATTGGGCTGGCCGGTGGTCTTGGGAGGTGCTACACAGATGCATTAATCACAGAGATGCCTGCCAAATCTGCCTTTCCCAACTGGGTGCCCTCTAGTTTTGGGGACTGCAACTCCCATCAGGCCCAGCACCATATGGCTGTGCTGGTTGGTGCTGAGGGGAGCTGTAGTCTCATCAGGTTGGGACGGCTGTGCCAAAGATCCATCTCGTTCTTTGACCCGTGTTCTAGCAGTGCTCAAGAATCCCCAAGATGGGCATTTGAAGGCCAAGAGCGCTTGCTGTGCTGCTTTAGAAGAAGCCTGGAGAAGAGCCTGGAGAAGAGGAGGTTAAGGGGTGATATGATAGCCATGTTCAAATATATTAAAGGATGTCATCTAGAGGAGGGAGAAAGGTTGTTTTCTGCTGCTCCAGAGAAGCGGACACGGAGCAATGGATCCAAACTACAAGAGAGAAGATTCCACCTAAACATTAGGAAGAACTTCCTGACAGTAAGAGCTGTTCGACAGTGGAATTTGCTGCCAAGGAGTGTGGTGGAGTCTCCTTCTTTGGAGGTCTTTAAGCAGAGGCTTGACAACCATATGTCAGGAGTGCTCTGATGGTGTTTCCTGCTTGGCAGGGGGTTGGACTCGATGGCCCTTGTGGTCTCTTCCAACTCTATGATTCTTGCTTCCCAGCCGTGTTCCGCTATCAGGACTAGCAGCTGTTGGGTTGGCCTGTCCTTACATAGCAAGCTGCCCTGTAGAAAGCCAGGCTTCTTGCCCACCTTTTCTCTAAACTAGAAAACTGCAAATGCTGCAGCCTTTACTCCTAGGGAAGTTGTTCCACCCCCTTGATTTGGTTGCTCTTTTCCAACTCTATAACACCCTTTTTAAATGCTTTTATCGTGCTGCTTGTGGCTGTGATTGTGTGACTTTCCTGTTTAGGCAACATAAACCACCCCAAGCCCTTGTGATAGGGTGGGCTTCATAGGATGCTTAAGAATAATTTCTACTTCTTCGCAGATCCATTGGGAGGCTCCAGCAGAGAAGAAAGCAGAGTGTATTCAAAAGGGCAAAAGTAATCAGGTAAGACAGGACATGACCCTGGGGATCAGGGCCATAACTCAGCCTCCTCCAACCTGGTGCCCTGCAGCTGCTTTGTACTACAACTCCCATCAGCCCCAGGCAGGACAGCTGTCCTACATGCCACTCAAATCTGAGCCAGTTCACGTTTTCTTCACTGCAGACTTCTAGACAAGGAAACAGAGAGGTGTCTCCCATTGCTTTTTCGGGGGTTGTTTTCAAGAGCTGTCCTTAAGAAAACTGAGGACAGCGTCTGAGACCTGCACCCCGTGGGGATCCTCTTGCCCAAGGATCTCCCACAAAAGGATGGGCCTTTGTCCCTACCGCCAAACATCTCTTGGCAGCGGTGGGCAGGCAAGCGCAATATTGTCATGGCTTTGTCAGGCATCTGCAGTGAGGAACTTGCTGCTCTCCCCACCTGTTACGCTAGGAGAGTATTCAGAGAGGACTTGTCCCTAAAGGAGTTCATGGTAGAGGTGAGATTTGGATCAGGGCTTTCCTGATTCATAGCTCACTGTCCTGGCCATTATGCTACACCATCTTGGTATCAGTGTGTGCATGGGCCCTTTCCCTGTGAGCCCCCAGGCACCCTGCAGAGAGTGTGGCTGCTTTATACTTCCCCTTTCCATTGCCCTGCCCCTGGAAACACTGGTCTGCTCTAGTCTGCTCAGCTTCTCGCCTTCCCTGCTAAGCAAGCAGACCAGGGCTCTCTGCGCATCAAATCTTCCCCTGCCGACTTCTCTGACAAACGTGAATCCTCACTGAGTTGGGCTGGCTTTGGACCAGACAGGTGTGCATCTGGCAGTCAGCCTTGCTTCCTTGCTGACTGGGCAACAGGAGAGAGGGAGACCGAGGCTGCATTCCTCTCCCTACCTAACCTGGGAGTAAGCCCCACTGAATTCAGGGTGACCTGCATCTGAGTAGTCACAGTTAAGACCACAGCTTTAGCAGCCTCCCACTGCTCTTTCTGTTGTCGCAGTTGATTATGGATCATTGTTGATGGGGCTTCAATGTTAGGTCCCTTGGTAGGTTTTTAAATCTTTTTCTCAGTGATAAAATGTGGCCCCAATTAACCAGACAGCTGAATTTCTAACTTTCAGTAAAAGAAGATTTATTATTTTTTTAAAAAAACTCTGGGTAACAGGCATCCTCCGTAGAAGAGAGGTGTTCCCTTTGGTGTGAGAGGGAAGCAGAGATGCCTTTTCCTAAGCAGGGTCTTCCTACTATATGTGCACAGGCTCCATATTTAAAAAAGAACCACATCGCCACCCTCCCTGGGGATCCATTTGTGTGTGGATATGAAAACAAATGCTGATGTGATCCAGCTAATTAATCAGTTAATTAATTTCTTACGTGAAAAAAAGGCAAGCAACGAGTGTCAGGAAAGTTACCACAGGGATTGTGGCTTGTGGCGGCCAAGCATTCATCCCTTTTTCATCTTTCAACGTCTCTCCAGTTTGGGTTATCCTTTTCTGTTTTGTCCTGAAAGGGTTTTCATGGCCGCTCCCGAATTTGCTGGCTTATTAAGCCAGGATTTGATACCAGGTTGCTGTATCTGTGTGCTGAATCCTGCACATTATTTGCATATAATATACATAGATGCATGCTTTGGTTACATTTACAGTGGTACCTCTGGTTACGAAACGCTTCAGGTTATGAGCGCCGCTAACCCAGAAGTAGCTGCTCCTGGTTGCAAACTTTGCCCCAGGATGTGAACGGAAATCACGCAGCGGGAGGCCCCATTAGCGAAAGTGCACCTCAGGATAAGAACGGTTTCAGCTTAAGAACAGACCTCCGGAATGAATTAAGTTTGTAACTAGAGGTACCACTGTATTGTGCTTTTAATTGGTGTCATGGGTACACTGTGGTGGTTTTTGTGAAGGAGCTCTAACCTCTGATTGCTGAGTTTGGCTTCTGAGGAGCCTTGAGGACTGGAAACGTGATTTTAAAGAATGGCAAGATTCTCCAGATGCTGACTTCTGTGTGTCAGCAATGCAACCACAAAATGAAAACAACCCACACCCTCTGGGTCAGGTCATTTGGCAGAGAATGAGACTCTAAATCTCAGGGTGGGTTTGAGCCCCACGATGAGCAAAAAATCCCTGCATTGCAGGGGGTTGGACTAGATGACACTCGTGCTCCCTTCCAGCTCTGCGATTCTATTCTGCGTTTGTGGCCTTTGGGGGTCTCACTAAGGTCCTTCTTTGTCCTCCTCAGACTGACTGCTTCAACTACATCCGTTTCCTGCAGAGTTACAACAGTTCCCACATGTATGCCTGTGGTACTTATGCCTTCCAGCCCAAGTGCGCCTACATTGTGAGTATGGCGGGGAGCTTTTCTGCCCATGAATTGTGCTTGGACACGTGGGCGGAGTGTGCTGCATGGGGGCGACTGGCTCAGTCCCATCACACTCCTCTCTTTCTTGGGCTCCTTGCAGAATCTGGCCACCTTCTCCTTGGACAGGCTCTCCTTTGAAGACGGAAGGGGGAAGTGCCCCTACGACCCCGACAAGGGGCACACGGGCCTCATTGTGGGTAAGTGGCACCCAGGGCTGCCTGCCTTCTTCAGCCTGAGGAGCAAAGTCCAAAGGGCAGGATGTCCCACTGGGAGGCGCTCTTTCGCAAAGCTCATTCAAATGGATTCTGCAGAAGGACTTTGGGGTGCAGTGGGGGGAAGAGCCAACTTCTGCAAAGCTTTTCTTGCCTGGTCACCTGCAGGCAAGTTCTTGCTCTCCACAGGCAACCAGGCAAGTAACAGCTGGCCGGCCTGCTCCCTGCCTGCTCCCCCTCAATGCAGCCTGGGCCTCAGGGCTCTTCAAGCCAGGTTAACCCCTTCTCTCCCACCCATTTTAGAGGAAGAGTTGTATTCGGCAACACTCTACAACTTTCTGGGCACGGAACCTGTGATCCTGCGCAATCTGGGCCCCCAGTATTCTGTCAAGACTGAGCACCTGCCCACATGGCTCAATGGTGAGATGCGATGGGAAGCAGGGGGGTGGTTCTCCAGTTGGGCTCTCTGTGCGCATCAGTGCGTCGTGGCTCCTCCTTACAAATGCATGTTTTCCACAGTGGGTTCCAGGCAGAGGTTCACAAGTGTGGCAGGCATATGCTGCTTGCCTTGGTTTACTTAGCTTGGAAAAACCACCACCCTCTGCTTCTGTACTCTGAATGTGGAATCTCGTCTGCACATAGCTCCATATTGTCTGTGCTAGGCATGGGGAGCCTAAAACCAACCGCTGCTAAAGCCCGTGTGGTGTAGTAGTTAAAACATTGGACTGAGATCTGGGAGAGCAGAGTTCAAGGCCCCACTCAGGTGTAAAACTCACTGAGTTACCTTGGGCCGGCCACTGTCACTCAGCCTAATCCACCTCACAGGGCTGTTGTGAAGATTAAATGGGGAGAGAGGTCCTTGGATGAAAGGAGGGGTATAACTGTCATTGGAAGAAAGTAAGCCAGGATTATATCTGCGCATGTGTGTTTGGTGGGGGCTTAGAGGGGATTGGGAAGGATGTGTTTGGTTTCAGGACTGGCCGTTCATCTTGCTTCCTTTCCTCCTTTTGTAGAACCCCACTTTGTGGGCTCGGCCTTCGTCCGGGAGAGCAAAGGCAGCGACAGAGGGGATGACGACAAGGTCTATTTCTTCTTCAGTGAGCGGGCGGTGGAGTACGACTGTGACATAGACCAAGTTGTGGCCCGGGTAGCCAGAGTCTGCAAGGTAGGCGGCACTTCCAGAGGCGATGGAGAGTTATGGCAGGCTCTGTGTGGCCCAAGCACCTCAGAAGACTCCAGCTGGGTCAGAGCCCAAGGCTTGTCTAGTCCAGCAGCCCAAATCAGAGTTAAAGGAAGGATGTATTTTATTCTTTTATTGCAATGAAACGATTTTCTTATATACAGACACTCCAATAATAAGTCCTTAATAGGACTTATTTTGATGCAGTGGATTTCACCCTCTGGCCAACAACACAGAGGTCTTCATCATTGGCCTAATATAGCATCAAAGGAATGAAATGTGAGAAATCTAAAGAATAAAAAACTTTAACAAGTCAGCATTTCTAGAATAAAAAACAAACATGCACAAAACAGCAAGAAGCTGATTCTCACTTCTTCCTCTCCAGCTCTTAAAATTTTGCCTGTAAGCTCCATGAGACAGGGACCTCTCCCCCCCCTCTTAAATGTTAATTATCTCTGTGCAGGGGGACGTGGGTGGCGCTCGGACTTTGCAGAAGAGGTGGACGACGTTCCTGAAGGCACGGCTGTTGTGCTCTATTCCGGAGCAACAGCTGCATTTCAATCGGATCCAGGGAACATACACTCTGAGTGGGGATCATTGGTCTGAAACTAGCTTTTTCGGAGTCTTCCAGGCACGCTGGTAAGGCAGCAAAGAACTGCTTTCAGATTTCTCCTGTGGGGCTTTGCTCTGCAAAGGCTGAGTGGGTGGTTGGCAGGGCTGCAGGAGTGCAAAAATGTCACAAGGTACGAGGGTGAGAACAGAATTCAGCTTCCGGAGAATCTCTGCTTTCACTTTTTTTTTTAACAAGCAAGCATCTTGTCCTAAGGCCAGAAACCATATTTGTTAGGTATTGATAGATGGACTATTGATACAACTGAATTATTTTTTTAAAAAAACCCAGTTTTTGAAAATGACTTTCAGTGAAATTTCCTTAAAACAACATAAAAAGAAATCTATATATTAGAAATAAAATCATATCCTTTAAAGCATGTGGCCCATGCCTATAGAATTTTTGGGAATAGGAGGGGTGATCAGACAAGATTTCCAGGGGAGGCGGGTACAACTTCAGTGTGTTATAGGTCTCTTTTGGGCACACACACTAATTTGCCCATAGTGAGTCATGCAACATGGGGGAGAGAGCAGAATAAATTGCCTAAATTAATCTACATGATTTATGTTGGATTTTGTTCCTGGTGTCCCACCCCCCACCCCCACCCCCAAAAAAAACTTCCTTCCAATGCCAAAAGGAAAGATGTGGGGTTGGGTAGGGTTAGAGAGGCTGTCATCCCATCCTGATAGTTGGATAACACAGTCAATGAAATGGGAATAATTGCAGGAGTCCTGTTCTTTCCCTCAGCCTGTCCTGATATAACGGAATAAAAACTTCCCAACCTTGATATCTGAAAGGGGAGGTTGAAACAGTTGATCTTGAATTATTGTTCAATTTACTGGCTGCTGGTAGAATCTGTAAAGCAAAGGGTGGGGTGGGGGTGGGAATAGGAATGGGAATGGCACAAATTCTCCACAATCACCGACTGGTTAAGCAAAATATAGGACACTACATGGCTGATTTGCTTTTCTAACTTGTTTTTCTGGAAGCTATTCAAGAAAATAAATATGTTCTTTGAAAAATGGTTTTTGTTTATTTGGGGAATAACAAATTTCAAGATAAAAAGCAAGCCTAGTGTATGGTTGTTTTTCTATGTTGTCATATCAGTTTAGGATTTAATTATGGCAGTCATATCAAACATATATGTTTGTGGTTTTCATTAGAACATATTTTCTTTTATTTGAAAATATTTCTAGTTCAGTACCATTTTTTTGTTTGCAACTTCTTATGGGTTGTTTTTTTTTGGGGGGGGGAGAGTAACTATTTAAAATAAAATCTTCCCAATCTTGGTTGCTCTCTATCGCTAAACTTATTTCTGCCTCCTGCCCTTTCTTTCCTGCAGGGGCGATATGGATGTTTCTGCCGTCTGTCAATACCAGATTCAAGAGGTGCAGAAAGTGTTTGACGGTCCCTACAAGGAGTACAGCGAGGTAGCTCAGAAGTGGGTTCGGTACTCGGACCAAGTGCCCAGTCCTCGTCCTGGAGCAGTAAGTACTTCTGGGGAGGAGAGTGGGAATCCCAAGTGGCTTCCCTGCCCCCCGCCCCCTGAAAGATGGGGTGCCCAGCTGCTGCCCCCTTCTGGTCTGTGAGGGCAGAAGTGTACCCACCACTCCCTTCCCTCCCAGTTTCCCCTTGGACAGATTGGCTCACAGATGGTGCCAATCCTGAGATTGCTTCTCCAGATCCAGATTCTTCCAGAGTATCTTTACTTTTTATCTGTGATAATGGGCTACAGTGCTTTGTGTCTCCAAGCCCAAGCATGATCGGGCTGACAGTTGAGAGTATAGGCAGCTGGCATAGCTCAGTTGGTAGAGCACGAGACTTTTAATCTCAGGGTCGTGGGTTCAAGCCCCACATTGGGCAAGAAACTCCTGCATTGCAGGGGGTTGGGCTAGATGACCCTCGTGGTCATTTCCAACTCTGCAATTCTATTATTATCTCTCTGGGTGTGTTTTCTCTGGCTGTATCTCTGTCATAAGTGTCTACTCATCTAGTGGAAGCTACATTTCCTGGCTTCAAATCCCTGCGTCTTTTCCCATGTGCACATTACAGTGGTGCCTCGCAAGACGAAATTAATCCGTTCCGCAAGTCTCTTCGTCTTGCGGTTTTTTCGTCTTGCGAAGCAAGCCCATTAGCGGCTTAGCGGATTAGCGCTATTAGCGGATTAGCGGGTTTAGCGGATCAGCTGATAAGCGGCTTAGCGGATCAGCTGATAAGCGGCTTAGTGGATCAGCTGTTAAGTGGCTTAGCGGATCAGCTGATAAGCGGCTTAGCGGCTTGGGGAAAGGGGGGGAGGGGAAAAAACCCTGCAGGAACTCGCAAGACATTTTCGTCTTGCAAAGCAAGCCCATAGGAAATTCATTTTGCGAAGCACCTCCAAAACGGAAAACCCTTTCGTCTAGCGGGTTTTCCGTCTTGTGAGGCATTCATCTTGCGGGGCACCACTGTACTTTTCCCAGGTGCCTTCTTATTTAGCCATGAGGAAAGTGTGCTCTGCACACCCGGAGCAGCCAATATGGTGCTCTTCAGCTGCTGCTGAACTGCAGCTCCCCACCTGATTGTGCTGCTTGGGGCTGATAGGAGCTGGAAGGCACTCCTTCTGTATGCCCTCTGAAGCACTCTTCTTTATGACTGTTTTGCATCCATCATGGCTGGGCCTTGTCAAATTAAAATCATTTTTGCAGAGCCAAGGCTTAATCTGTGTCAAAGCATTTTCAGCTCTGACCTAAGCCCTGCATCTTCCCTTCCTTCCAGTGCATCACCAACTCCCTGGAGCTGCCTGACAACACGCTCAACTTTGCAAAGAAGCACCCCTTGATGGATAAGGTGGTCCCTCCCCAAGGCAACCGGCCTTTGCTGGTCAAGAAGGAGGCCAACTTCACCCAGCTGGTGGTGGAACGGGTTCATGGCTTGGATGGCAAACCGTATGAATTGCTCTACATTGGCACAGGTATGGAATTCTAAGGCCCAGAGCACTCTTTGCATTTTAGAAGGTACCAGTTTAACCTCTGGCATATCAAATAAAAGGGTCTTGGTTAGTGAAGGATGCCAAAGCTTCTCTGTAGGAGGTCTTGGAGTGTTGCTGCCTGCCGGAGTAGACCAGGGATAGGGAACCTGTGGCCCTCAAGATGGTGGACTACCAACTCTCATGCCCCCCCCCTTGCCAATGGCCATGTTGGCTGAGGCTATTGGGAGTTGCAGGCTCCCCATCCCTGGTGTACTTGCTTCACAAACTGAAACTCCACTGTCAAGCAGAGAAGATGGGGGGGGGGGAGGCTGGCTCTGTATGTCGAGTTGCAGCACCTCTGCGGATAGGCTGAGTTAGTGCTCCAACCTGCTCCTGGGTTTGGGGGATGGAAATGCCACATGAGCCCCGCTCTTGAGTCAGATGAGAACATAATTTCAGTTTTGATGCTGGGGTGGTTCTTGGAAGGAGTGGCCTGAGGAAGGACTGTAGCTTAATGGTAGGCACCTACCTTGCATGTAGGAGGTCCCAGGATCAACCCCTGACATCTGCAGGAAGGCCTGGGAAAGATTCCTGACCTGGAATCCCAGAGAGCTGCTGACCGGCAGTGTCAGCTAGGTGGACCTAATGGCCTGACTCAAGGCAGTTTCCTAGGTTCCTATGATATGGTAACTGGCAGAGACAGTGGTCCCTAGGGCAGCTCTGTTCTGGCAGCTCTCTCTGGCCCAGAGAGCACCTTCCTGTGATGCTTCTTTGCCATGACCTCCCTCTCTTGAATTTTCTGAAGATAATGGCTGGCTGCACAAGGCCGTGGTCTTGCCATCGGGTGTCCACCTGATCGAAGAGCTGCAGATCTTTGAGCATGCCCAGCCTGTCAAGAGCCTAGTGTTGTCCCTGCAGAAGGTAAGAAATGTCCCTGCATGGGCCGGGGTTGGAAACACGGGGGGTGACAGCAGGCAACCGTCCTTTCCTTGTGGAGTCACAAGGCATGTCCCCAATCACACCACATGATGGGCAGTGCTGATGTGTAGGCCCACCCAAAAAGCCTTGCTGAAAACAGATTCTACAAGTTAAGACCACTTGCTTTTGCTTTGGCTAATTCTACTTTCAGGATTCAGACATCAAAGAGTTAGTGAGCAGGTCTTTCTGATGAGGGATTGGTGGAATTGTAGTGTTTTGGAGGTGAGAGAATAGTGGGATGTGCTGGTCAGGAGATGAGGACAGTGCAGCCAAACTGAGCACAACAGGATTGGGGTCAGCCACTGTGCACTTTGAGGTTTGCTAAGATTTCATCAGAAACTGCCTGTATGGTTCTCTGCAACCATAAGGACTAGAAACCTGGACAAATGTATGTAAACTTAGATCCACAACATCCCACATTTGGCAGAAGATGTTTGTGCCTCTGCAGCAAGAGCATGCAATAGAGCAACCCAGGGAATGAGGCAGCGCTGACTTTTTCAGTGGTATCTGAAGATTAAGGTGGGAGCAAAGTGGTATGACTCTAGATGCTGCTCCAGTATTGATATTCTTCCCTCTCACCCCAGAGGGTGCTGTTTGTTGGCTCCAACTCCCAAGTTATCCAGCTTCCTGTGGCCGACTGCAGCAAGTATCACAGCTGTTCTGACTGCATCCTCGCTAAGGACCCTTACTGTGCCTGGACGTGGAATGGGAGTCGCTGTGTTCGCATAGATGCCTATGATGGGTAAGAGGCACATCTTGGAAAGTGGCAAAAGAGGGAGTGAAAAGGAAGGGAAATGTGGAGAACACCCTGAGACATCAACTCTCAGGAATCTTGTTCAGCTACTCTTCTGTGTCCAGATCTTTGCTGAATGCTCTTAAGTAGCTTCCCTGCCTTCTTGTAACCACCAGGCCTAGAAACTTCTGCAGTTTCTGGGGGTCAGAACTCTATATGCCTGCACAAAAAGAACTTACAGGCATGCAGAATACATGGTTTTATGGTCCTGTCGCCTTTTATGTAAATAATTTATATCCTGCTTTTCACCCGTGTCTCAAAGTGGCTTACAAAAAAATAAATAAAAGAGACAATGTACAAATTTTAAAACAAAGGTGACCCCCAGCTTTTCCTTGGTATTGTGGTGCTGTTCCGTAGCTTTGTTCCCTCTGTCTTTGTGGCAAAACATCTTCTGATGAACTGGCTTTTGGCTCTTTTAGGACCTCGCTGCTGTTCCAGGATTTGGGAGTGGAGTCTGGGATTTGCACCCCCCTGCGCACGTCAAAATCAGGTCAGTCCTCCTCTGCAATTTTCAGGCAGTGTTGTGTTGTGGTTACTCTGTGGACTCCTCGTATATATGCTTTGTGGGACCTGTGGTTTCAGCATTGTGGTCCTTCAGTGACAAGACAAGCTTTACTAGGGTGTGATTGTGTGTTTCAAATGCTCAGTTGCAACTCCAAAGCTAGCATCTTCATAGGAAATGCCACAACATCGAGTTTTACTCCTCCCTCATGCCAAGTGAAGGAAACACTCCAGCTTTCATCAGTAACTCTGGAGCAATGTCCTCAGTTGTCTCCACACCACACACCTCCTTTTTATCCTCACAGCAACCCTGTGAGGTAGGTTGGGCTAAGCAAAAGCGGCAGGCCTAGGCTCACCCAGGGAGCTTCATAGCTAAGTGAGGATTTGACCCTGGGCCCTCCCTGGTGTGCTGTATCATGCAACCCACAGGTTGCGCCCGGATGGACTCTCGCTGCAAGGAGATTTGGTTGCTTGTCTGAGGGCAGTCCTGGGACTTGTGGCTGGACCATGAAAAGGAGGAGGCAGAATTGCCTCTTGATCAAAACTCACATGACATTGAGTCCTCCGTCTGCAAATCTTTCTAGAAATGGTGGTGGGAGCCTGTGGGCACATAAAATGAAGCACAACAGAACAGAATTAGGCAAGAGGCTGCCTGATCAGAATGTCTGTACTAGGTCAGGTTGGTTATTGTTAATTTATTGCTTTGAATATAGCTCAAGTCAGTAGAGCATAAGACACTTAATCTCAGGGTCTTGGGTTTGAACCCCATGTTGGGCAAAAAGGTTTCTGCATTGCCAGGGGTTAATTACCCTCGTGGTCCCTTCAGCTCTACAGTTCTATGATTCTGTGACACTATACTGAGTAGGGCTGCCATACACCCAGAATTTCCCGGACATAGCTGGGATTCGTCTGCCGGAAATAGCATCTGGGCAGAATTACCGAAATTCAGGGAAAATGTCCGGGAAACCCCAGGCACAGAGCACAGAGCTTTTGCTTTGGAAGCAAGAAAATCCTGTGTTTCGTAGACTGCAAGGAGCCCTGTCTGTTGGCAGAAGAATAGCTAGGCGTGATGTCCTTCCCCGTCTCTTGTTCACCTTCTCCCTTCTCTCTGCAGGAACCAAAGTAATTCCCAAGAACATCACGGTGATGGTGGGCACAGACCTGGTCCTGCCTTGCCGCCCAACCTCCAACCTGGCCCAGGCTCGCTGGACCTTCAATGGGCAGGAGTTGCCTGAGGAGCGGGACTCGGTCCTGTACGATGCCCACCTCAAGGCGCTGATCATCTTGGGCACCAGCCTGAAGCACAGCGGGCTGTACAGGTGTGTCCAGCTGGAGGAACGCAATGAGCTGGTGTCCGAGAGCTACGTGGTGACCGTGGTCTCTGGCCCGGCCATGTCTCTGGAAGCACGAGCCCCTCTGGAGAACCTGGGCCTGGTGTGGATGGTTGTGATCGCTCTGGCCGCCGTGTGCTTGGTGCTTCTGTTGGTGGTGCTGTCCCTGCGGCGCAGGCTCAAGGAAGAGCTGGAGAAGGGCTCCAAGGTCATCGAGAGCACCTTGGTCTACCCCATTGAGCTGCCGAAGGAGGCGAAGAGCCCCACCTTCATTCCCAGCACCACCTCGGACTCGGACGAGAAGCTTTGGGACCCAGCCAGCTACTACTACTCTGACGGGTCCCTGAAGATCGTCCCCGGCCATGCCGTGTGCCAGAACGGAGGCACCACACCCTCTCCCACCACCAACGGCATCCCCGGGCAGCCCCTGCAGTCTCCCCCGCTCCACTCGCCCAACCGCATCAACCTGGGCAACATCCGCGGCTCTTCCTCCAACGGCTACATCCGCCTCAACCTGGGCGCTGAGGAGCGGCCAGACTACAGCGACCTGGCTGAGGAGCTGCGCCGGAAGCTCAAGCAGAGGCAAGCGCTGCCTGACTCAAACCCCGAGGAGTCGTCCGTATGAGCAGCGCTGTGGACTGGGCCTGTGTATTATTACTCAACTACCTCATAAACTAGGCTGGGATCACTGCCCCTGGCTGGTTCTACTTCTTTTTTTAAGAAAAGAAAATCCTATTTAAATACTTCCTTCAGACACTTCGGCCCCCAGTTTTTATACACTGCCAAGTCCCCATTACGGGCTGCTCCTGCCTCATTCAGTGTTTTTAGCCGTGCTTCCTTCTGAGAAATCCCCAGGACTTTGTGGGAGGTGTGTTCAACTCTTCCTTTGCCTTGAATGGTGAGCCTGAACTTCACTGGAGACTTAACCATTGGACTGGCAGACCCAGTAATTCAGGCCTGCCCACCCCCACCCCAAAACGGCTCTGTGGCTGATGACAGAGTGGACAGCAAAAGGCAGGGCAGAGTCTCGTTCCCAGTACACAGCTGCTGTTGGGTCCATGCTGTTCTGTTTGCCACTTCCCTCTGCTGTGCTGACTAGGAAACTACCGGCCAAATGCAATAGTTGGGCCAGGGCAGCTGAGAGTCTGTGCCCATGCCTCTGAAGGAAACACTGAGGATTAACATGAAGATGCATAAATCACCCCCCCCCCAGGGAGTAATGCCGCAAAGGGGGCCTGCATGTGTGGGGCTGGGCCTCTTCAAGCTTAGATGGTGAGAGCGAAAAGGGGTTGGGAAGGTGGCGCAGGGAAGAATTGAGTTCCGGGGAAGACTTGCAATAACTGAGCTGGAGACTGCTTTGCCTGGAAAAGACCCACCTTTTGTCAAGGGTGGCACCACCAGGGAAGGTGCGCAAAATCTGGGTCTGCCCAAGGGATTGTGGTCAGGTCAAGGCAGAAAGTTTTGAGTGGCAATCTCCCATCCTGCTAAAGCCTTTCAGGCTTATGTTCAATTCAGCGGGGCTTGTGCAGGAGATCTCCCCAGTAAATCACACTCTTCCCAGTCTGATTGGCGCCCTCCCCATGGCACCTCCAGATCTGCCACCTGTGGTGACCACCTTTACTTACCCCGTGGTAAGACTTGCTTCTGGGGGGAGAGAGAACCCCTGTGTGTGTGCGTGTGTGTGTGTGAGAGAGAGGGGGGGGCTCTTCCTTCAAAGCAATTGACTGCTGTGACTAAACTGAGCTTCCTCCCTTCTTTTTGGGGGAATGAGGAGCATGCAGTGTAGATACCCCCACCCCCCTGGCTGTATCCCTGCCTGGTAACCAAGCCCTCAACACAGCCAGACCCTTCCCCTAATCCTGCATGCCTCACACCACTGCCAGCAGCTGACTCCACCCCCTCCTCTCTTTTTACCCTTTTTTAATCCAAGAAAAAACCCATGTAAATAATAAGAGGGGCCTCTTGATAACAAGGGTCTCTTGCTCGCCCTGCCCACCTCCCCCAGGCAATTCGTGTAATTTATTTGTTACTGAAATATATTTATTTGATGTAAATATCTGGATATTTTTATATTAATAATAAAATGGAGAATAAGAATAACATGATGAGTACCGTGTTCATTGGGGCGTGGGGGTTTCTCTTCCATTGCAGAACATGCCTTCTCAGGAGAAGAGTGTGCATTATATGTTATTAATAATAATTGACGGCAGTAGTAATATTGTTAAAGCCTCATTGGGCGTACACTGCATTTTACAGAACAGAAGAGGTCCTTGTCCCAAGCAGACTGCAATCTAAATCTAGATGGGAGAAGGAGGGAGAGAGCAGGAAATTGGGAGAAAAAAAGGTGAATGTGGTGTGTATTCAGGACCAGCCCTACTCAAGAGTAGACCCATGGACATTAAATGGCATGGCTAACTTATTGTTTTCATTGGCTCTCTACATTGCATTTGGAAGAGAAGAGAGCGAGGCAAAGGCGTCATCTTGGGAGGAAGGCTGAATAAGGGCCATATATTGGGATATGATGGTGGGTGGTTTCTGATTGTCTCTTCTCAAAAACGAAGCCCTGTGATTATGCTAACCTTTGCCAAACTCCAGATATTTTTGACAACACCCCGGTGTATCTCTTGCAATGAAGAGACCTGTAGTTCAAAACATCTCGAGGGCGCTAGGTTGGTGAAAGTTGGTTTCCTGCAATTTTTTTATTCCTGGCTATGATGCATCTCAGATGATGAATTGCCCAAGACAGGACAAGCTCTTCTTTTTCTGCCCTTGGAGGCCACTCCTGGATATCTCGCTGTCCTTTCGTTAGCTTTCCCATCAACTGGGCCTCTTTCCCTGCGATCTTCGGGGCCTGCCCTTGTGACAGCCTGCCAGTCTTTTCCCTTTCGCTTGTGAGCTCATGGAAAAAGAACAGCAGGGCTATAAAAGGGCATTTCTCTGTTCCCAGCACTCCAGAGGGCCGAGTGGGGTGGGGTGGGGTGGGAGAGCCTGCTTCTCCCTGCTAGGGGAGGAAAGAAGCAGAACTCCCAGGAAGCCGCTCTCTGGGCTCTGTTGTCACAACTGCCAGTTCAATGCATTCCCCGCTCCTGTTGATTTGAACAGGCATTTATAAATATATTAAGGATGGAAGTAATGGTGTGTGTTGCAACAGATTTCTCCTCCCCCACTTCTCCTGCCTTGATTCCCTTCTAGCTTCCAGTCTGGGAAAATAATCCATAGTTTCCCCCTGCTACACATGAGGCGCAGATCAGGCAATCAGCTAACAATAACCTTGCAACGAAGAGATGAAATTGGGTGTTTAAAAAGGATTTGCAAGGAAGCTTCTGGAGTGGAACGTGGAATCTCAAGATATCTGTGCATCCCCAGCTTGTGACCTATTTTGGCATCTCCACATTCAGCTCCTTATTTTCATAGCACTTAACAACTTCTTTGCCAAGAGTGAGGCAAAGTGTTTTTGTGTGTATCAATTAACATGGTGCTTCAGCAAAAAATAGACTGCTCTCCACCACCAAAAGAACTTAAAATCTACATTTTGACAGAGGGGGAAATGGCGAAGAGAAGAGAGGGGAGGGGAGGGAGGGATCTTTGTGAGCAATGAAGTTAAACCTACATAGGCTTTGCTAGAATTGGCAATGAAGATAAAGTCAAAGGCTTTGTGATCCTTGCAACACCCCTGTAATGAAGGTCTGTATTACTGTCAGTTGTGTAGGATGAGGCACAATCGTTGCTTAGCTCAGACCACAATAGTGAGTTCATAGCAGAGGCCAACCCTAGGACACAAAGTGCAACTGTCTGCCACTACTGTCTAAATGAATCAAGGCACGCTACCCGTAGAGCCATTAAGTCCAGAATCAAAAAATTGCTATCTGTACCACAGGGCAGTGACCAGACCTGTGTTGCATTTGGCATCCTTGCTTTCTAATCCAGCACTGACCGATGCCCATTGGCACTGGCGGGATGGACAGCAGGGAAGCCTATGACAGGTGGCTCCAGAGCCACACAATCCATCCTCCCAAGAACTCCGGGAGCTGTAGTTTGCGAAGGGTGCAGAGAGTTGTTAGGAGATCCCTGTTCCCTTCCGGGAGTTGCAGAGTGATTTACAACCAATCCCTCTTCACAGAGAACTCTGGGAAGGGAGTGGGGGACTCCTAACAACTCTCAGCACCCTTAATAAGCTATAGCTCCCAGAATCCTTTGGGGAAAGCCATGCCTGTTTCATGGGCTTTAAATGGAGGGTGTGAATGAGGCCGAAGAAGGCAGGCAGGTGCCAGCTGGCTGAGGGCGGGCAGGATGGTGGGGCAGTGCCTCATTTCCATAGCAGAGCAGCCTTCATTGTGGCTAGCCAGATCATTTCCCCAGGATGGAATAAGCAGGTTACTTGCTTCCCTTTTTGTTTATTGATTTTAAAAATGATTTGTGGGGGGGAAACTCCTAAGCTGAGAATCATTCATGGGCAGATGCAACTGGGAGTGTGCAATGACTGAACGGATTGTAAGCTCATATTAGTACTGTATGGGGCAAGGCTGGGTTAATTCCTTAGTTTTTCACTGATTCATCTTAAACTAACCTAAAGTTCAAAAGAAACAAAAACACAGAATCATAAAATTGTTGAGTTAGAAGGAATTCCAAAGGTCATCTAGTCCAACCCTCTGCCATGCAGGAATCACAGCTAAAGGATCCCTGACAGAAGGCCATCCAGCCTCCATTTAGAAACCTCCAGTGAAGGAGAGTCCACCTCTTCCGAGATAGTCCACTGTCAAACATCTTTTACCATCAGAAAGTTCAACCAGCTCAGCTCAAGAAGGACTGAGCATGGTCAGCACCCACAGAATGCTGAACGTCAGCTGGAAAAGAAAAGCAGAGGGCTGGGTGGGGTCAAATGGAGTTTCCTGGTGGAGAGCAAGGCTGGCTGGCTGAGTCCCTGAACAGGAACCCTCCTATTAGGAGCTCAGGGTACACTGCAACACTTCGTTGCAGGTCTCGCTTAACAGATAAATAATAACCATATGTCTTCTAAGACTCACTTGTGTAAGAAGTAATAATAGAGGCAGCCCTAATAGAAATGGCAGGAAAAGGTCCAGATAAGAGCTGTCACAGTGTGACATTGGAATGGGTTTGGAGATGTGTTTTTTTATAGGGTTTGAACTCTTGAAACAGATGCATAAAAGAGGCCCCACCCATCTATATATGTCTGCAGGCAAAGGATGGGAAATGTGTGATGCTCAGTTGACTCTTCCCAGTCTGCAGGGGGGGGGGGGAGCAGGTCTCACTTTGGCAGAGAGTCTTTTCCCATGGCCTTAGGTTGCCTTGATAGTTCCTGTGTTATGCCCATCCTGTCCACTTAAAAAGAAACAGCTGGATTTCAGGCAGGAGCATGAAGCAAATTTGGAAAGAGAGCGGTGCACTTTGGGGTCACGTGGCTCCCTCTTTCGAGAACTGAACACCCATTTGGTCCCCCCAGAGGTTTTGGGGCACATCACTCATCAGTGCCAGTGGTGTTGGGGAGGGCTAGTGACTATTATTGGCAGGTGATGTGATAGGCCTGAGGACTGCAGGGCTTCCCCATCCCAGCAACCAATCCCACCCCCACCCCACCCCGAAAGGAAAACAACAACAGCTGGCAGAGGAAACAGAGACGGCATCCTCTCATCAGTGTCTTCAGCTGAGCAAGAAAAGGAGTGCAGGCATTATGGCTCCCAAGCACACACACACATTCCCCCATTAGGATTTGAGCACAGATGGCTTCCCATTGCCTGCCCTCGCTTTTGTGCTGACACACACTGGCAAGCCAGCGCAGCACACGGAAACGCCGTTTACCTTCCCGCCAGTAAGCGGTCCCTATTTATCTACTTGCACCTGGGGGTGCTTTCGAACTGCTAGGTTGGCAGGCGCTGGGACCGAGCAACGGGAGCGCACCCCGCTGCGGGGATTCGAACCGCCGACCTTTCGATCGGCAAGCCCTAGGCGCTGAGGCTTTTACCCACAGCGCCACCCGCGTCCCCACACAACTCCCTTGCCATGTTCTAAATACATCCCGCCAGTAAAGACTGGGCTAAAACTGTTTTGCCCTGCATGCTCCTCTTTTTATGGGTGTGAAAGATGGGAGATGTCTCCTGCATGTGCCAAAGCTGCGGGCAGCAGACCAGGATGAAATTGCGTACGTATTCTGTCCGCCCCCACCCCCACCCCATTTTTAATTGTAATATGTCAGATGTCTTCCCAGGGTGAACTAGAGGGACTGAACTGACACAGAGCATTTCGCAGCTGCTTCACACACATTGAAACGAGTTGATTTGTTTCATCTATATTTTGAGAGGGAGGTGAAATTTCTTTAGGTGGGAATAATCATTTCCACCCACCATTTTTCTTCCCACAAAAACGCCTGTCCTGAGGAGCTTTTTCGATTGGGGGGAATTCAAAATGGCTGGCACCATGAGAAAAAATGGCTGCCACTTAGTCAGCAGCAGCAGAATATCGAGAGAAACTTACACTTGCTTTTACACAGTGGGCAGATCGTTCCCCCAGCAACTCATTTTATTCAAGAGCTGCACTACAGTTAAATACTTCCCTCCAAAAGGACAATGACTGAAGCAAGCCTATTAAAAATATAAAGTCACAGTGTGCCGTTTCATAAAATCCTATTTTTAAACTTGAACTGCAAGGGAAAAAAAACATTTTTTACATGTGGGTTTCTGTTTTCCTTTTGCTGAATAAGACTGTCTTGCAAAAAAACCAAATAAAATACAATTTATTCAAAAGCAGATACAAACATTTTTGGGAGAGGGAAGGGGCGGAACCAGAGATTGCCAGTGAATCCTATGCAAAAATCAGAAAGAAACCCCATTGAGCTCAGCAGTTTACTCCCAACTAAATGTGCTGAAGAATCAGCTATATCATTCAGAGAAATGCGTTTTTGGAAGGGGCCATTTCACAAAGGCATTTCTCCTCAAATTGCTGGGACAATTTTGTACTTTTTTGGCCCAGTGTCTGCTTCTCCCCAGCCCTGGCATGAGCAGCAGCAGACTCTGCTAGAGCCTTGTTTCTAGGCCCCTCAGCTGCAGGCGCCCATTCCTTCATGCCAGGCGGAGTGAGAAGCTGAG